ACAACAACAACAACAACAACAACAACATCAGAGTTTCAAACCCTCTAGTTTCAGTCATAAAGTAGAATTCTCTGCTTGGTGGTTTCAGATTGTCCGTGTTTACATTCTGCTAAAACCAAAGAGTCCGGCACCAAGACTGCAGAGAAAAAAGGTTTGTGGGAAATATCACATTTGTATCTTTAGAATTAGAGTCTAAATATCTTTATATTAAAGATATAACTTTTAAATCAGACTTCATTAACTCTCCAGACCTGCTGCTAATGTGTATTTCATATTTCTAGTTATTTGCTCTCTCTGTTTTAAACCTTTGCAAAGTGTCTCTGAACTATAATTAAAAAATGTCCACATGAAAAGGTTGTTTTCCACCTGTTGCGTGTGGATTCATTCCAGTCACAGAAACAAGTTATTGCAATAAAACGATCCTTCATATCTGTTTTTGTCAGGATGTAAACTCCAGGTCGGGTTCGTTAAAATCTCAGCTCAGTGTTTGTTCTTCCTGTTCGTAGCTTCACGTCTCATCATGTGTTTATTTTCAGAGGCTCCGAGGAGGGTTTCAGCTGTGAGGAGGAAAAAAGGTAAATCAATGAATTAATTAAAAAATCAGGGATTAAAAGACAAATAAAGTTAATGAAGTTAATATTTTAGTCTCAAACGCTGATGTAGAATAATTCAGGCCTGGAAAACATCTAATCATCAAAATAGAAATTGAAACAATGTGAGGTTCAATTCATCCACTTCTACTTTCTTTTAATTTCAGACCGCGACGCTGTGAAAACAGACGACAAGCCGAAAAGGAAAGGTAAAAGTGAACACTGCAAAGATTCCACCTTTAAACCACATTTACCTCAAAATAAACTGAATGCATTTGATATAAAACTTGTTCGTGTCCAGCTCTTCCCAGAGTTGCGAGTCTGGAGCCGAAGATCAGGAGGATCAGGAGAATCCCGGTTCCTCTCAGAGGTACGACAGCTCAACAATGATGATATGAATGGTTTCGACTGACGGCAGTAAAATACACACGTTTGTGATTAATCTCATGTTTTCTCTTTCAAATATACAAAGTCAAGAGAGACGAGAAGACAAAAACTTCCAAAACAGGTAACGCGTGTATTTATACTCGTGGTAGATAATAGAGATTAGAAATGAACCGTGTGAGGACGACTTGTTTTTACATCTGAATGTTTCTAACGACAGAGACAGCGTCCAAAAAACAAGACGAGGTCCCAGAGTCTGGACAAGAAGGTTTGACTGATCTCTTCACTATGATTTAGAAAAGAAATCCACCAACCAGAGCCGTTTCTGTCCATATACAAAGTTTTTACAGACTCATAAGGTCCCTGTGACCTTTGACCTTGAATATATTCAGTTCATATGAGTCCAAGTGACAACTGGTCAAGATGAGCAGAGATTTACAGAAGGCCGACTTGAGATGTTCGAGAGAAAGATCCTGATTTGTGACCTTTGACCTGAAACCACTCAAATATAATGAGAATCTGTGAAAGTGTCTCTCTCGTGCTCTGAAGATAACAAACAGTGACCTTTGACCTCCAAATCCTGTTCAATTCATCTTTGAGTTCAACTCCATGTTTGAAACTCAAACTCCGTCAATGCATTCCTGAGATATCGTGTTCACAACAATGTGACGTAATGCATCCGGCCCCGACGCCGAGTCTAAAATATATTCCTCATGTTTACTTTAATCTGATTATGTTTAATGATCTTATGATGTCATAACTGAAGGATACAAACCACCAACATATATTTTCTTCCCTCTCCTTCAGTCGGCCCCTGCAGACCTGCCCCCGTCTACTGTCCGTCTCCGCCTGGCTGGTACGGTAAGTAAAACTTTTAGATATGAACAATATATAACTTTGAAAACCTCCGTGTCAACATGTGAACTCTTCCTCTTCCAGTTCATCACATCGTCACAGACAACCCGTACCCTCCTCCCACCATGTCAGGTATTTACAGCCGCCTCATATCAGCCATAACTCATATTTCTCATATTTCTCTTCTCCCGACAAACACTATTTTACTTCTTTCAGCTCCGTCTGCTCCTGTTCTCACCGTCCATCCCGGAGCGCCGCCGCCGCCGATGCAGCCGCTCTACCATCAGCCCCCTCCCCCGCTGATGCACTATCAACCATATCCTCCGCCGCTGCAGCCGGTGATGCAGCCTCCACCAGAACCAGCTCAGCCGGCTGAAGCGGGGCCGCCAGTGGCCCCAGAGCGGGAGGCCCCGGTGCAGGAGGCCCCGGTGCTGCCGGAGGTTCAGGCTCCAGCTGCCGAAGCTCCGCCGGCCGCAACTCTGCTCCACGGTGAGGAAGAGTTTTGTAGAAATAAAGTGCTGCTGTTCTTTCTCAGGAACATTAATGAATTAATCTTGAAAAACTTTATCATTCACAATAAAACCATTAAATATACTAATGGAACTATTTTTTTTCAAAAGAACCAGCGAGTGTGGAGGAAGAGGTGAAGGCTCCACCCCCCCAGAAAGGTATTTCATTATTATTTAAACGCACATAATTCTTTTTCTTTTACTAGTGAATGATACAATAATGAACATGTGACAATTTGCAGCTGCTAAGAAGAAAACAACGAAGGCGACTGACTCAGAGAAAGGTACGGTTCAATTCCCCAGATCCATTAAATCCTCGACTCGTCAACAAACTGTTGGAAACTACATCTGCTGCACTGAAACAGTGACGTGTGAATAAATTCATTACGGAAAATTTACTGCTTCTCTCCAATTATCCTTCAGAGCCGCCAGCAGCCAAACAGAAAACTAAGAAAGGTGATTAATGATAATTGTCAGATGATGTTTTCTCTGTTTTACACTTAAATGTTGTTATGAATGAAACACACGAGAACACAAACAGGTTCACACACTGAGACGATATAAATAACATCAATCATTTGTTAATCGTAGATGCTGTTGTTTCCAAAGACAAAACCAAAGCAGCCCCTGCAAAGAAAGGTGAGTGACTCATTAACGTCTCTGTCCACTGCAGTGAATATTTATTTAGAGTAATGATCTTCTCATTGTTGTGACAGACTCCGCAGCAAAAGAAGAGAAAACCAAAAGTCCTGCAGCAGCGAAAAAAGGTAACGCACATTATAACACGACAAATGTCTGAGCGTCACGTCGAGCTGAATTCAACTCTTTCACATTTTTTTTTTTTTTTTTTACAGAGAAAGCTGTAAAAGAAAAAATCAAAACTCCTGCAGCTGCAAAGAAAGGTAAAACATCATTCAGGTCTAATTAAAGCAACACTATGTCACTTTTACTGAGCGACAGCGCCCCCTGCAGCCACACGTAGGGATTCATTCTGCTGCACTCAGCGTCCAAGTGATGAAATGGTTTTCATCTAATAATTTCCAATCATTCGTGCACGTCTGTGGCTCGTTTATCTCCAGAAATATTCATCTCATCAGCTTCACAGCATGTTTGTTGTTGAAGACGTGCAGTTTTAAATTTGGACACGTGATTCGTTCCAAGAATTCATAATGTGAATAAAAAGGCGCAGCAGCAGCAGCTGGGACTCACCAAGACACGTCAACGTGTTGATTGAGAGAGGAACAAGAAACATTCTCTACAGATGAATTTAAATGAAGCTGCAGGTTTAAGGTAAAAAAAAAAAGAAAAAAAGATGTTGCCTTAAATGAAAACTGGGAAAAGAACCTCCGTCTTTACTGTGAAGGGAAATCTGATGATTTACATAGAAAACTAATCAGGACTCTGTCCTCACCGTGTTAGAGGCCGCAGCTGTTCGACAGAAGAGGAAGTCCTCCTCTGAAAAGACAGGTAAGTGCTGATGACTGAATGAAAAATGAATGAACCAGGATGTGAGAGACGACTGGAAACTAATCGTTCTACTCGTCTCGTAAGCGTCTCCCGTCAAAAGCAAAGCCAAGACAGCTCCTGCCAAGAAAGGTAAAACGTGCAGAATTTAATTAAAGGAAATGCTTTACATGATTTTTGATTTTTATCAACTCTGCTGAACTGTAATTTAGTCCAACTGATGACTTGAAATCACTCGGACAGATCCGGAGCCGCGTCCGCAGCCGATCAGACTGAGAACGAGACACGACGCCGTCAAGAGGACGAACGTGACCTCGCAGGCCAAAGAGGAGAAACCGGCCAGATCGTCTTCCTCTGAACCAGGTAACTCATCCACCCCGAGCGCTCCAGAGGCTCCTGTGGAACACGTGCACAGAAACTTTCATTTCTTTCATTTTCAGCCAAGATGAAGTCAGAAACCGCAGCAGAGAGGAAAGGTGAGTTTATGTTTTATATGCGCTCGTGTTGCTGCTCCTCTCAGTTTGTAAACTTGTGACACGAGAGGAAATCAACTGGATTATTCCGCCTCAGCACTTCAGACGATTGTGTCGACTCCCTGGTTGTAAATGCAAGAAGTTAAAGTCGATGTTTACACGAAGAGTCTCCACTGGATTCAAATCCCTCCTCTTAACAACATAGATTATGTGATTAAATGTTTAAAGCACGATAAAGATAGAATTAGAGACACGTGGAGCTGTGTTACACCAGTGAGGATATTAAACGTGCTCCACGATTAAAGGGAGATGTTTGGCTTCAGTACCGGGACTGACCGTTCCTCCTGTTACAGGCAAAGCTGAACCGGCTGAGAACAAAGCGGCTCCAGGTATCAGATCAAGTCTGGATTCACAGTTAGACTCTGATTAATCTACAACTGACACTGAGTTTTTTTTTTTTTTGCCTTTTCTCTAAATGTAGATAAAGAGAAACAACCGTCTCAAGCCAGTAAGTACAGTTTATATATATATTCACCTCCAGCCGTCTTCAAGGAGACATATTCTGCTCATGTTCAGCTTCAGCATTTTATTTATTACTTGAAAACGGTCACATCGACAAAACCTCTCCTGTGAGAAGATTGAACTTGACTCAGCAGAGTGAAGCTGAACTGTAGATCAGTTACAAGTTTAACATATGAAGAAGTCAGATTCAGGAAGCCGGGGCTCATGGGTAATGTCCTTCGAGTTTCGGTTCAGTGAGCGAGGACGACACAGTCAAGAGCTCTGATCCCAGAGTGAATCACAGTGTGTGGCTGCAGGGGGCGCTGCTGCTCAGTAAATGTTCCGCAGTGCTGCTTTAAACTAGACGATAGTTTAACCTCATCCTGTTGAAACCGGAGCCACAGATAATTACCACTGAATAAAAATGTGTTTACGCTTCATTTATCATTTCAGAGATTATCACAGTTTGAACAAACTGAAAAAGAATCTTTGATGAACAGAGAAACACGTTCAAGTCCAAACGTCTCCGACTTTTTGTCGACTGAAGCTTCGCGGACTCACAGTTTGTCGTGTTAACGCTTCATGTGCTTGTCGTTCATAGAGAAAGCAAAGAGAGCTTCCTGTGCGGCCTGAGGTATCAGCTCATCTTCACCTTCTCTCCTCTGGTTGACTCAGTACGAAGAGACGTTGTCTCTTAACGACGCCAGCGGTGATTAGAATCTAACGAGACGATTGGTTCTTCAGAAACTTGCCTCCGCTCACTGCAGGAGATTAACGTCTGTCATGAAGACGGCAGCAATAATATTCATCCAGACTAATTTGATCCATGAACCAAACCCCAGTAAAGTGTGGTATCAGTGTTCTGTTCTCACTGAGTCATCCAGCACCCCTCCCCCCCCCCCACCACCAGAGTGACTCTACACTTTTCCACCGTCGACGTCTGACACAGAGTTTAAATGAAAAGGGTGATCTGAGGGTATCTGTACGTGATGCAGCCACGACAGACTGATAGTTTGAAGGAACAACATTCTCTCTAAAAACCAGCTGACGTGTGAACCATCCTCAGCTTTCTGTGAGGGACTTGAACCCACAGCGATAAGCTGCTGCACGTCTTTGTATATCTGAGCAAAGAGGATGAACCAGTTCGTGACGTATTAAGTTAACGGCGTCTCGGCTTCATCAAAACACTGTCTTTTGGGATAGTTTGGACTTTCTGACCAATCACAGGAAGCAGAGACATTAAACAATAGAAGAAGAAGAGGAGGAGGAAGCAGCTGTGCTATGGGCTCCGTCTTCCTCCTCACACGCATGTGGACACTCACCCTCATCGTCTGTCCTCTCGTCTTCCTCTCTCACACAGACACAGTCACATTTTGATTTGTTTCATTCCCGTTCTTTTGCAGAAGAGCCTCAGACTGAAGACGACGCCACGGAACAGAAGAAACCAGGTAGAGAAAAGAGTTTTACTGTCGGCGAAGAAGGAAAAGAGTCAGTTCCTGTTGAAACTTTCAACATGAAGACATTCATGCAGCTTTAGAAACGAACCAGGGACGTTGTGGTTACATGTTCTGCACCTTAATCATTCAACTATAAACAGCTTTTAAAATGAGGAGAACAATAATCAGTAATTAGATTCTGAGTTATTCTCTCTTTTGTTTGGTTGAACTTCAAAAGTTGGAGCTCAGTTTAGGCTCAATGTTCCACTTATTCAATTTACTATAATTCATCTTCTCCGTCTTCTCAGGCCAGCGATACTTCCAGTGCATTTACGTCCCTGGTAAAAATGCTCAGTACCCTCTACGACCTTTCACCCCAGCGATGTCCCCCGCCATGATGTCCCCCGCACTCCGCTCCATGTTGGAGCAGCAGCGAGCAGCCAGGGCGTCGGGGCAGTAACCTCACGTCTGACGGCTCAGCGCTCCCACTCCAGCAGGAGGGATGTTTGAATCTGTGGACAAAAACAAGGGGACAGACATATTTTGTCTTTGATTCATTTGTGTATTTATTTTTCTCGTGGTTGAGCTCCTGGGTTTTTTTTTCACCCTCCGCTGACGCTTCGCTGTGCATGCCTGTCTTAAATCTCTCAGCTCAATATCACTAATATTCAGATATTTTAATATTCATAAACGTATTTAATGTACATAACATATATATTTATAATTGAGGCTGAGTTAATCAGTTGTTCTTTTTTTCTGTCCACTCCTGAAGCTCCTGATTTTTTAAATTTCATACTGTTCAGGACATTTGCACATTATTCTTTTTTCTAGCCACACGTTACTCGGATTAGGACAAACTGAATAAATTCATAATCAGTTCTATAATATATTGAATTATTTAATAACATTTAATTGAACATGTTGCACGTGAATACAAGACGATGGGTAAAATAAAGCAAACAATAGACAAAAGCAGTTTCATTCAAATACTGAGGTGGCTGATGGACAGAGGGAGGTTGTTCCACAGCTGTGACCTCATTTCTCTCAAACCCAAAATCATAACTTCATTATATAAAAGAAGTTTTTTATTTTTTATGTTTGCTGCTTCAGCTGCATCAGTCAAAGTCAGAGGGTCAAATCCCAGGAGCTCCCACAGTTGATCCAAGCATCGTCCCCGTCTCTGAGCGTCAGCGTCTCACCAACGCGTCGCCGTTTGTTTAGATCGAAAGTGAAGAATCAAGAAGAAGAAGAAGAAAAACTCATATTTAGTCAAAATAAAAAGTTCAGTTTTCTGACTTTAAAGAGAAACTCGACTCCAGTCACATGTGGTTTATTATCTCGAACCAGAACTGACTTAGAACAATAAGCCCAGAAATAACGTGAACGATACGATTAACAAGGAGATTTGTAAAACTTTATTAGTATAAAAACTTTATGTAATCGCTTCAACAGCCACACAAGAGCTGCCAAAATTCAAATAAAGTGGGGATACAAATGTTTTCTGTTAATGTTGAAGGATTTTCATTCTAAACATTTTTTACATTAAGTATTTATGTACTCCAGGTTTTATTTTGAAAGGTGCTGCCAAATTAATTGTAATAACTTAATATTAACATTTTTTAATTAAACGTATTTTAAATCCCTTAAGTTATAATTAGTAGTAGTTTATATTTTTATGAATAAATTAAACCTTTATCTTAAAAATGAAGTCAATTAATTGACAATAAATTTAATATAAGTGTGTATTTTAACACGTGTGACGTCAGAACTCTGAAACCGTCTCAGACACACTTGTGTTTTTTTATTACGTGGTGCGTTCAGGGACAGGGACTCTGTGCAGGACAACTTTGACGTGACCAACTCATGAGACGCTGTGATTTCTGCCACAGTGGATGAAAGTCGTTCGTGTCATGTTGAAGCATCAGCGCGTTTATCCTGACGCTTCACATATTGTTACCTCACTCGTTCGGAGATCTGGTTTGGTGCCTGACAACAAACCTGAACATTACCAGCAATTTGCTATTGTCGTCTTACTGAATGAAAACCCGATACAGATAAGAAACAAAGGGGGTTTTCACGCTGGGCTTAAACCTGAGATGAGACCAAAGACTGTGGACAAAGATGGACGAGGCCTCGACCAATCGTGAGTCGGTCTCAGCTGTCAATCAGCGTCAAATATCCGATTAAAACCAAACTTACCAGAAACATCAGTGTGAAGCAAACTACTTAAAATGACAGAAATTGTTTTTGGATGTCTAACTTGACTTTTTGTAGTTTGGTCCATGTCCAATCTGCTAACAAGGAGGAGGCAGATTTATTGACCTATACTACAGCCTTCCACTAGAGGGCGTCACTATTGCGGAGCTGTCGTGTCGTCCATCTTTATTTACAGTCTATGGAAACGTTTTGTCAGCATGTGATTCAACACGACTACGTGCTTTCAGGTGGTTTCACTTCAGGAACCTGATAACGTAAAAACACTATTGTTGCTATGGTTACCTTGTGCACTTATCCGTAACAACGATTACATATAAACTAGACAATCATTTAGTTTAGGTTTTATTAACTTTATCAAAACTTGCGGCACATCGTCCTCAAACGGTCCCAGAGAGTCTTAAGTTGCGTTCACAAAGTAAAACGTCCAAAGTGAACGGAGACGAGAGGAAGAACGAGAGAAACAGCTGCAGTTCGTTCTGAGTCACTGTTCGTGTGAATCTGGATTTGAACTCCGGCGATGAGACGTTTCATTGTTCATAATCAAATCTCAGTTCGCCGCATGTCGTTAGTGTGAACTGTTGAACTCGACGCTCGACGGACGACCTGAGTTTACAAGTTAACGAACAGGAAATGAGGTCGTCCTGCAGAATCTGAAGTCAGCCGGCCTGAGGAACGTGAGGAGCTCCTCGTGTTTCACGACCAAATGAGATCTGACAACCATTTACAGCGTGAGGTCACCGTAACGACCCCGGCTGACGTGTCGGTGTTTAGCTCTGAGCTCACGGATGTTTGGATTTATGATTCCAGCAGCTCTTTGTTGTCTGAGCGTAACGTGGTCATTGAGCCACAGAGCCGCGGAGCTGTGCTGTAACTAAGGATTTATTTATTATCTATTCGTCTTCATGAATATTCATGAGCCTAAAGGAGGAGCGCTGTGTTTGACCTCGACGACGTCCCTGATCACAGGATTTAAATAATGACGCTGAGTTTCTCTCCTTCGTGTCGGGACGTTCAGGTGCAGAGAGTCTACTTGAATCTTTTTTATTCGGGTGTTTCATCTTCGGTCGGTAGTTTCTCTGACGGTTCCACAAAGACCATGTCGCGTTTTTATTGGTTGATCAGTGGAGTTTTTGACCACCGGTGGCACTACTGAGCAATTCTTCAAGAAATACCACCGGAGATATTGACAACACGTCCTGACATACGACCAGTAGGTGGTTTGTAGGGGGATGGGGGGGAATGCCGTCCCCTTCAAACCACACACAGATATATTTAAAAGTCAACATACACGAAATAAAGTTGCATTTACTTGTTTTACTTGTTATGATTAACACCTAGTTTCCATGTAGCTCTGACTCCGAAGTGTTTTCATTCCGATGGGAACATCCGGAATCTCTGATGAGTCACGATGGATTTCACACGCACCGTTTGCTCTTTGTGCCTCTGGAAGTTCGCATAAAAACCAATTAGCTAAGAAGCCTTAAATCAGTTGATCTGTTTAATTGTTTAATTGAATAAAAACTAGTTCAGGCCAATAAATCATTACATTGATTTACATTGATTTATTTGTACATATAAATATATATATACTTTGATAATAATCATATCAACATAATGAGCTTTAACCAGCAATGTGAAAATTAAAGATTTTGTTCAGGTGCATTTACCTAAAAAAAAAACAGGCAGTGAAAACCCAACGAGCCTTTAAAAGAAAAAGAAATGCACATCTGTGTGCTGAACACTAGGGGGCGAAGTCCAAACGGAATTACGGACACAACACAAAACTGTGTGCAAACGAGGCGTAAGGTATATTTCACCTGACGCGGGTGACGAGACGATCGTAGGTTGTAAAAATTGTACAAAAATGACGCCAAGGACATCGTGAATACAGACGCGGCCATCTTCCACTTCTGACGTCATCCGGGTCCAGAGTCTTCTCAACTCTGCGTTCGCTTCATGTTTTCAGACGTTCGATCAAACGTACAGTTGCAGTTTGTACATGAATGGACATTCAAGCGACTGAGGACGACGATGTGTTGAAAATCGCTGCAGGATGTGATTTCATCCATTTCACACGTTTATAGTTTGTTTATTTTGTTCTTGATTTCTATGCATGAAAAACACAGACACTGTAAAATACACACGAAGCCGCTGTCAGTCAGATTCTGTGTAGAAACTGTAGATAATAGTTTATTTTGTTCATTTCATCTGGAGACGATTCACTCGAGTTTGACCGAAGGAGAAAAAACTATCACTTCTTGTGTGTGTGTGTGTGTGTGTGTGTGTGTGTGAGTTAGTTTCAGTGCAGCAGTATAAATACTTTCAAGTTATTTCATTAAGAGACAGTTTAAACTTGGTGTTGCATGTATCATAAAGCAGAGATGAACCATGTTGTCGCGATGAGAACAGTCGGACTCTCACTTGCTGAGCAGAATGTAGAATCACCACAGTGCCAATATTTGTGTCATCATTTTATTAAATATTTGCTGTTTACTGTGACGCTGTTTCTCTATTTATTTTAGTGACATTATAAAATCATTTATTGGACTTTTTTTTTGATTTAAAACACTGAAAACATATTAGATGAACCAGAACAACAGCAGATGTAAAATATATAAACCAGCTGTGTGACGATAATGAGACGATAACGATTCTCTAATTAGCTTTGCTTAGATTGTTTCTGTTTTTATCGACAAGTGAATGAAACGTTGAAGTCGAATTATATTCCGAGTTTTGACCAGATTCAAAACATGTTTGTGTTCACAACAGTTCACATACACAAAGAATTAATATAACAAGTAATTGAAATACCACCTTTTGCTTGTGACTTTTCTATTTCTGTTTTTTTCCGATCATGCACGTGTGTGAGAGACTCTGTGTCTGCGGACGTGTGGACGAGGCCTCAGAGTCTCCAGCTCGGCTGCTCCTCTGTAAAAGAATGAAAGGGTTAAAAAATGATAAACAAGAGAAATCTACGTGTGTCCATATTTATTTTTGCCTGTTTTACATTATGCATTTCAGCAAATTGTCTTCGAGGACATTTATACATTTAACACCTGCTAACTGAACAGCTTTTGCTCCTATAATATACGGGTTGTCCATGACGACGTCACAATTCAGTTCTGAGTTTGGTCCCCCTACAGCTCCTACTGCCTTACAATCAAAGAGCAGTGAGATGAAAATCAATAAGCATATAGATCACAACTGAAGGTCGTGAATTCAAGGTCAGAAAAACGATCAATCGTCAAACATGTCATTCAGAGTCCGAATCTTCGAAGCACAACACGAACATTAGTGATCGGAAACAATACATCAGGTTTTTGATTGAACACGTGGCTTCGGCTGAGATTTAAAACACACGACAGAGTCAGTGAGAAATAAATATTCTGAGTCTCATCACAAAGACAAAGACTGTGATGGAGACTTTGATTCCAACGATTAAAGAAACTAATCAGATTCATTCATCTCCTCACGTCGAACATTTAATGACCGATGTTTATAACTGGGACAAAAGTGATATAAGTCAAATTTGTGTCAAATGTTCTGAATCCAGATTAAAGCGAATAAAACAAAGTGTTAGTTTCAAGGTTGAATCTTCTACAATCTGTTTCAGATGGAAATTGAAAGTTTGTCGTATTGAAGAAATGAATCTCAGAACTACTGAAGCTGATTAATCTGAATTCATAAATGAAACTCCTGTGAACCACGTGTGACATTGATGGACATCAGCTGTTGAATGTCGGAGGTTGTGTTTTTCATTCATTACACAAAAACCTCTGGACGGATTTCACTCGGTGGAAGGATGTGACGTGGGTCAGGGATGAACTCTGAACATTTGGTTTTGTTTTTTTTTTACTTTCTTTGTGGTGTTATTTTGACTTTCTCACCATTTTCACAGGGAATTATTAATGTTTGTATCTCGTGTCCTACATTTCTATCGATCCCAGATATAAACAAAGCAAATTAAATGTGTCTGGGTTAAAATCATTAGGGAACTGATTTCTATGACTGTGTGTAATTTGACTGACTTTGTTGGGACGGCTGGGCCTCGGCGGAGGTTTGAGCTCTTCTGAGTGACATTCTAGGTAAAAGTAAGATCTAAATATCCTCCAAGGCCGAACAGTTCCCTCTAACTCAACCAAGCTGCACCAAATTACTCACACTCATATTTCAAATCAACTAAATAAACCTGTTTTTCATCAATATCCAAAAATGATTCTCTGGGAAATCGGTTGATAAATGCTCTTTGTCTGCGTCGACACGTCTGAAGTGTCTGAAATGTCTTCAACAACACTTTGATCAAAGTCAACAGGAAAGACAACAACACAGAAATAACATTCAAAATGCTGAGTTTCTTAAATAAAACCTCATAATTCTGTTTACAATTCATACAACATATACGCATCTGCCTCCTCCCCCGTGTCGTCAACAAGGTAGATATCAGTTTTAATAAAATACTGACAAAAAAGAAAGAAACATTTCAGAAATGTGATAAAGCGCAAAGCGTCACTGGATAAAGTGTATCTGTAATAATAAAATTAGAAATCTTCACCTCTACATACGAGTTTTACAACAAAATAATCCTGCAGATTATTCAGATAGAGGTTCAGAGGAACTCAAGCCGTATACAGATGTTTATTACATGTAAACTTTATATCCTAACAACTGGAAGCATCTACAGTGGCTGTGTGTGTGTGTGTGTGTGTCTGTGTGTGTGTGTGTGTGTGTTTCCCTGTGTGGTGCTCATGTGTGTTTTCCTTCACACCTCCTCCTCCATGACGGCTCGTCTGAATCCTGGTTTTTTAAATGTGAACAACTCATCTCAGATATTTGCTGATGCACAGAAATGAATCAGCGACATGTGATGAACGTGGTTTCTTCATTTCCCGAGAGCGTCGACTGATTCAGAAACCTACAGAGACACTTTGAGCGCAGCGAGTGAAAAAGGAATAAAAAAAAACCAGATGTGCAACACACACTGAACATCTGCGCACCGGTTAAATCATGACGCTGTCACATCCTCTTGTTTCAGTGCAGTCGTGGTGATTGTAATGTTTTAATTGAAGGTTAAAGAGGGCGACAGATACATTCTTAATGAGTCTAATTAGTTTAAACGATATATATTTTGAAAACATCACTTTAAGGAGTTATTGTCTGGTTTAATTGTTCTTCATGTAGATGTTGCCACGTGTGTATAAACACATCGAATGTGAAAAGAAGACATATTTAGGTGACTGATGTTGTTGAATGTGGGAAACTTGGTGCAGATTTTTTCGGAACCTGTCGGACCTCAGCCGAGGTCTGAGCTCCACTCAGGGACATTCTAGCTTGTTGGTTTGTTTGTGAACAGCATTACACGAAAACTCCAGATAGTGTCACCAGGAAACCTGATGTGGAGTGTGTCAGAAAGGAACCCATTCAATTTCGGGGCGGATCCGAGATTTCTTTCTTTCGATCTCTTTCTTAATAATTGAGATGATGTTTTTCAAAACGTTCCGTTGATTTCGCAGACATTCGAGGACACTGATGAGAAGAATCTGCCATGGAGTGTGTAGTTTGTTGTAGATCCAAATGAAAGTCTGGATCTAGAGGTTTCTAGAGGCTTCTGGTTTCAGAGTGTTGGGCCTGTAGGGGGAACACGTGCTCGACTGAGCGACGCTACAGTTTTCTGGGACGTTCAGCGTCACCCTCACTCTTCTAGCATCACATCATGTGTGTCGCCATTCTGTGCGTCCTCTTACAGGGTTCCTGGTTCAACGTAAATCACCAGGAAGTCAATGAGCTGCAGGATCAACTAATGAAGTAACCAGTGTTTCACTGAAGAGTCGAGATGTTCCACTGCAGGTCATCGAGGGGTTAATTCATGATGACGGTAAACAGTACAATCATGATCAGCGACTGAATAAAACAGCATCGTCTCCGTCTAACTCTGGAACCAGACACGTCACACTGAGCCACAGTGAAAACCACCGAGGCCGCCGCCTATCTCCGCTCTGCACGGAGCCTCTGAGCTGTTGTGAGTGAGGCCGACATGTCGAGTACGCTGGTGTGATAGTTTAACATTCCAGCTGTCTGCTCTCGTCGAGGCCGGCCACCTCACGCCTCCTGCCCGCCGGCCTCCCTGCACTCGGCTCGGCTGCTCGCCTGCCCGCCTCCTCAACATTCGGTTGTCAAACACTTCTTCTTTTTTTGTTTTTATCTGAACCCTGTGGTGAACGGTTGAGTTGGAAGAACGTAAACTGTGTCGAACACCTTCGGTTTCACATGGACACGTTTTTCTTCTTGAAAACTGAGTGGAGCAGAAGATAGTGGCTCCGTCATTTTAAATATCCGACTGTGATTATATTCAAATACTTTAAATGTGCAGAAGAAAACCTGTGAAATTAAACTTAACGTATATATTTAAATCCCTTTGAAGAACACCTGATCAGAGATCTGTGTTTGTCATGTTACCGCTCAGTCGTACTTATGAAGCTGTTTCACTGCTGCCTCAGATCCATCAGCCTTCACCACAGACTCAGTTAGTAAATGTTAATTAATGACGTTATTGATCTTCTGCAGGTCTGGTGTGTTCACATGTCAGGAGACATTTCAAGTGTGTGTGTGTGTGTGTGTGTGTGTGTGTGTGTGTGTTTCCTTCAGGCCTAACAAACGTGTTGAGTGCTTTTCTTTCCTCTTTCTCCAAACTGGATTTTATCTGAGCCGCTTGTGTGTTGTCGCCTCTATTGTTAATTAATTCATTTGTTTGTTTGTTTTTCAGCAGAATTACTCGAAAACCATCAAATGGATCCTAGAACTTAGTGACAGGACGGGAACTGGATCCAGGATTTTTTTTTTTTAGCACTTTCTTAACGTTGTAAGATCGATCTAGAATCTTACAAAAGAGCACGTGAAGGCAAAAACCTTCGATCACGTCTTCAAATCAGGAGCTGAACATGAGAAGAAGCTAGAGAGTCAAACTGCAAATGAATACTGCTCATTTTTAACTGCATAACACCGATAACGTCCTTAAATAAATACTGAGAAAGTGCATTGCAGCCCAGAATGAGGCAAAAAAGAATTCTATCTACGCGTTTGTTAGAAAATAATTTACATGTGATTTTAATGGTGTAAAACATGCAAAAAATAAGAAATACCACTACGATCGTTTACTGCCTTATTCTGTAAATCTTATAACATCTTATAACAAACGTAAATCAACTCTCGTTAACGGAAAAAGACCTCAGAGGATCATTATTGCTGAAAATAGAAGAGATCCATCACAAAGTTACGGGACAGGGTGACGTGTTTGCCCTTTTGCTGTTTCCGTAAAATAAAATGTAGCCGCATTTATTTGGTTGGACATGAAAATAAATGTGTTGGTCGTCGTCGGCCAAACAAATACTTCATCGCTGTTTTAAAAAGAGCCTGACGCTTAAATACTTTAAGAATAAATACTGCTCTTGTGGAGAAAATGGCCAAAATGGAAAAAGCAGATGATTCATGTGGAGCCGACTCTGACTGTAAAGGGGTGTTTGCTTTTACAAGAGATAACGGGAGTGAGGCTGAGCGTTCAGACATTTTGTTTTTTTTTACAGGGAAAGACGCCTGCCTCCCCCCCGACCTCCCTGTTGAGTCAACTCCCAGTAAACCACCCGCCTGGTCGCCAGTTTGGGTCCAGGAGGTTGAATGAACTCGTTATCCTGAGCCGTGCTTCACGCCCGAACGAGGCGTTTTCTTTAAATCACTGTACAAAGAAAAAAACCCAGCAGCCTGGGAATCAAACCCCCGAGCCTCCTTTTCAAGTCTGATTTCCACTTTTCCACTTCCGTCATCGCTAATATACTGTACAACTGCAGGAGATCGTGGTTTTTGCACACGTGCCCCCCCCAGTCCTCACCGAGGGGCTGGACCGTTCAAAGACGTTAATTTACATTTTTTGGGGAATTGGCACTTGACAAATAACTTAATAAATATATAGAACACCATCAGTAGCTCTTAGGACGCCATCGGTCTGAGAGAACGTCCGCCTGGTCTCCGGCCGCTTGTCTCCTTCGAGTTCAAGAGGAACAAGAATCCTGCAGCAGCGAAGGCGGCGGCGTTTCCAGTGTGTGCACAGGTAAGTCTGGTGGAGAATCTGTGTGTGTGAATACTGATGAAGGGGGGACTTTTTTTTTGTTGAGCTGTAAATGTGAGGTTTAGTCCAGCGAGAGCAGCGGCTGCATGTTGTCCTCTTCGCTCTTGACTTTGTCCGGTCGTTTCAGGACGCCGGGCTCCACCACCGACTGAGACCTGCAGGGACACAGAGCACGAGAACATTAGCACGGCCGCGTCCTCAGAGATTCAGGCGGCGTCTCGGGTTCAGGCGCGACGCGGTCGTGAAGATCATTTCACAGGTTCCTTCGAGTGCGTTTCCTGTACGAACGATGTCGTGTTGATCGGCAGAGTCGTGCAGGGACAGTCTGTTGAGTCAGTGGGTTTCACACAGTGCTCATGATGACTTCCTGTCACACTGAATCACACGACACGCTGGCCTATCGGGGGAATGACGCCTCAGAAAATGTCAAACACACTCACAGCGGCGTCGAACACAGACACAGTGAGAGACCGTCTCGGGGCGGAGGACAGAGATCTGGACGTCCCTCTGAAGGTCAAAGGTCTCGACGTCGCAAACAATGTGATCTAACCATCATGTCATAGAAATAATATGTTTGAACTCTGGTATGTAATATTTAGTGACAGTAAAATAAAGTGTTATTTGATGGACATGTATCCACGTCCATCTTTGTTTAGTCTTTGGTAAAAGCAGGATCTTACCTCTTCATGGTTTTCGGGGACAGGTTCTTCTCCAGGTCTCTCTCCAGGTCTTGCACTGACAGGGTGTACGACTCCGGACAGTAGTCCGTCTCCTCGTCGTAGGCGTGGTCCAGCAGCGTCCGCGCCCACGTGCCCATATCGTACGGCGGCATCATACCGCCGAGCTCCGACGGTAGGATCTCAGGGTGGATCAGCTGATGGAGGCTGTTCAGGTTGTTGCCGTGCATGAAGATCTGCACAGAGACAAGAAACACACGGTTTAAACTGAACACATGTAGGAGGAGGGTCTGTAATTCTTCTTTACAACAAAACTTGATGTAATGAGTAAATACTTATAAATGCTCAATGGTTCCTTATCACGGTGAACGAACGTACCCTCTTCCTGGTCTTGTCTTTGAGGAAGGGTCTGATGACGGTGTACAGAGCGTGGATGTACCACGGCTGGTTCACAAAGTGGATTCCTCCAAATCTGGCAGGAAAACTGTCCTGTTGGAAACAAAAAACAAAAAACGAGTGAGAACAGAAATAATTTAAGGAGGAAAATCTGCTGAACATCAGTGATTCAACCCAAACAGTGAAGTTTCTGCAGCCTGGACCTGAAGAAAACCTTAAACCAAGCTTTGTAAGATTCAAACACATCATTTAAAGGCCCTGCTGATAAAGCATCAGGTCCTCAAACACTTCTGACAAACTACGAAGCTGAAACTGTTTTCGTCTCCAGTAACAAAGAGCCACTTTTGATTCAGAGGCTTGAGAGCAAATGAAAAATGGCTTCTGTGAGTTTCCATTAGATTAGTTTGGTAAACGAGCTCTAATCTCATCGTCCATAGGAAATGGTCTATTTTGGGGTCACAGCCGAGCACGAGGCCCGAGGGAGATGATTGTGTGTTCGTATACAGGTTAGTGAGTCAGGGCCTGACACAGGGTTTCATAGGAGGCTGGACACAATCATCATAATTACACTGTGTGTGTGTGTGTGTGTG